AGTTGGATGAAGCCAGTCCAAGAGGGAAGCAGCAGAACCAGGGAGTTGGGGTAAAGGGAATGGAGAAGATTCCTCCATCTCTTCTCTCCCGCTCCAGGGCCGAGGGCATTAGTGAGGTCAGGACGGAGCCCAGCCAGTACCAGCAGATCCCCTCCAGCTCTGTCCTGGGGAGGACATTCCCTGCCCAGTGCCTGCTGCGGGGCTGGAGCTGGGATGCCTCTTTCCAGCTCATGTCTCAGTAAGGATGTACCGGAGAATCCCGTTGACCACGTCCAGCGTCTCGTCGCTCTCCAGCACGATGTCATAGGCTTCCAGGTACTTCCCCCTCCGCTCTTCCACCTACAGCACAGCCGTCAGGACAGGGTGGGGAGGGGGGGAAGACTGTGAACACCAACACCTGAGGGCAGAGATACTGCACCCACAGCCCTCGCTACTGGAAAGGGGATCAATAACCACCCTGACAATGCCCCAGACGCAGCAGGAGCTCAGTACACCCCTCCACATCACTGCCCCTCCCTGCTGCCCCAAAGCTTGGCACCTGGGGAAGGCTGGCAGGGAAACACAACACTGCTCCTCACACCCACCTTGTCATTGAGAAAGCCAATCTTGAGGATATTCTCCACGCTGGGAATGCCATCTGCCATCGTCAGGTCACCCATGGAGTCCCCGAGCAGGATGATGTTCGTCCTCGTGCTCAGCTGCTGGAAGTAATCTGTGCCCTGCAGCACGGAGTTGTTCTTGTTGTAGGTGTGGATGAGGGGTGCCTTGAAGTGCGTGAGGACTCCCTGAGCACACAGGACAGACAGACAGACAGCTCTTAACCCAGTGGTGGCACTGTTAATCGTGTCCCAGCCCTTGGTCCCAGCCCACACCTTTCCCCTCACCACACCAGGGTGGTGCAGAAACTCACGTCATCATCAAAGTCCATGTAGTTGGACACCACGTTGACGTTGGAGTAGAAGACGCTGGCCTGGCGGATAATCTCCTCCAGGACGTCACCGACGCCAGCAGAGAAGATGAACAGGGGGACATTGTTCTTGTGCAGCTGATCAAAGAATTCCTTGAAGCCATCCCTAGAGCAGGAGTGTCCATTGTATGGGGTTGTGTTACCAGCTCCCAGTACGGTGCCTGGTGTTCTGGGCTGGCAGTGTGCCCAGCCCAGCTCTCCTTTCTGTCCAGCGCTTCCCAAATAGAAACACACAGGTGAGCTCTGCAAACAGCACGAGCTCTCTGGGGCACCAGCATTCCTGTGGCCTTCCCTGTGCAGAACCCCGGAGAGCTCTGGGCGTAGTGGTCGGGTGGGTGCTCACGGGAACATGGAGCACTCCAGCCCTTTGCCTGGCACCTGCTGATCACACCCCCTGCTCAGCAGGGGCACAGGGCACTGCCAGGAACCACGTGGGAGATATGCAACAGGTTGGACTGGTTGGGAGGACCATCAGGCCAACCTGTGACAGCCTCAGTCTGCCAGGACACAATTCCATGCAGAAGGGGAACTTGGGCTCATGAAAACCCAGACATATGGTGTCATCTCCTCCCTGAGCCTGGGAGCTCAGTCAAAGCCCAGCTCCCTGAGCCAGCCTTAGGGCCATCGCTGCCAGGGTAGCAGTAGTAGCAAGTTTTAGAGCAAAGTTTTTATGCTGTGGGTGAAATCTGCTGCTGAGCCAAGGGCCTGGATAAGGCCCAGTAGCTCCAGTGCAGAGAACAAATCTCTGCTGGAAGCAAGGAGCTGCCCCCCCATCCCGCCCTGCACATGGAGAGCCGTGCCCAGTGCCGGCCCCTCAGCTGCTCCTCGCCAAGGCCCAAGGGAGGGGGAAACGGTTTCTGCGCAGGAAGGGAGCAGCCTGCAGCCAGGGAGTGAGCTCAGCGGCACAGAGCGTGGTGACAGCAGAGAAACCTGGCTGCACAGGCAGGAGAGAAGGGCCAAGGGCAGCCAAGCCCTGTGCCTGTACCTCAGCACCACAGCCCCATGTCCATAACTCAGCACCACAGCCCCATGTCCATACCTCAGCATCACTTCTGACTCTCTGACAATCTGGGCTATGTCATCTTTGCGGATCTTCTGCTGCACCAGCAGCTCGTGGGCCCTTGTCCACCTGGGGAAAGGCAGCAGTGAGCTCTGGGGCAGAGGCCCTCGGCGGTCAGAATCACAACTAAATCCCCCAGGATCACCACAAAGCCCAGGGACAGCTCGAGCCTTGAGTTCTGCAGTCCTTGGGGACAAGAGGTTGTCAGGGCAAGGTCAAGATCATAATGCACAGCACTCACCACTCCACCATGAGGGGACATTTCTCTTCCAGAGTCCGGTTGGGATCAATTTCAATGGGATAGTAATAGTGCAGCAGGTCCTTCAGCTGGAGCGTCGGACAGAGGGGAAAAGAACAGAGTGAACATCAGGTCTAAACAGACTATAAACAACAAAACCAGCATTTCTGAAGTCTTCCAAAGCATCACACTTCCCAAACACAACCAAACTGTGTCACTGAGCAGCTTCCCTCTGAGCACACCTGTAGCAGCCTGGCTGACCCTCACCTCACTCCAGACAGACACTGCAGGTACAAACATCCCTCCCCTTCCTCCTCTTATCGAGCTGAAACACCCACAGCTGTGCATGCAAATTCAATTTCCCTTTTTCACTTCTCCTCTGTCACTGCTGGCTGAAATGCAGCCTGGACATTTCCCCCTCCAGCCTGGCAGCCAGTACAGCCAGTGTGACCTTACAATGACGGGTGACAGGGTGTCCTACACACAGCACCCACCTTCTTCCTGCCGTCCTCACTGACAACACGGCTGGTATCGAGGATATCTGCAAGGACAATACAATGACAATGGCACAGAGATATTAAAAGCCTTTCTAACAGCAGCTCTCCTGCATCTCAGTGCCAGCTCCTCCCAAAACAAGCTGCGGTGGCACAGCTGTGGAGTCCCAACAGGCACTGAGTGCAGGGCCTGGCTCTGTCGGGAGAGTGGGATGGAGATGGACAGCCCAGGACACGGCTCCTGCAATGGGCAGTGGGTGGCCAGGACCAGGCAGTGAGGCCCAGAGCCGCATGAGGAGCAGTCAGATTTGGCAGATGAGGGGACAGAGGATGACAGAAACCACAGTGATGAAAAACACAAACGCAGAAACCAAACAGAATTAGTGACAGTAAAAACAGCAGCTTCCACTCACTGTGAGATGTGGGGCAGCGCCTGCCGTTACATCCAAACCTGCTCAGTGTCATGTCAAAGTCAGAAATGACCTGGAAAAGGGGAGAAAACAACATCTGTGTGTGCCCCAGCGCACTCTGCCCCAGCCAGAGAAAGCCAAGGTACTTCCAGGGCACACATTGGCAGCGACAGGGGCAGACGGTGTCCTCACCCTCCCGCCCCGGCGCTGTTATCAGCACCGAATGGCTCCATCCTGCCTGGGCGGAAGAGGGGTTTGGGGAGTGGGGCACGGTTTGAGTTTCATAACCGGGAGCCGAAAGGACCGTCCGGGGAGAGCCACCAGCCCCGTCCTCCGTCTCCTCTGGGGCTTCTCCCCTCCGCCTGCACACCGCGCCGCAGCCGGGGGGGCGAGGAAGGGCCAGCTGAGACAAGGACG